CCTCAATTTAGCACCAGCAAGCTCGTTAGCTAGACAGTTAGCATCAGCTAACAATATTTACTTATTTTCAGTATGGTTATGATAAATAAACATTCATATCTGTCTACTCGGCTAGTTAATCCAAACAATAGAAAAATGTATACTGTTGATAAACAATATAAAAACAGACGTCGCATAGGGCGAAATGCGTAGCATTTTAATAAAACTGTTAACGTTATGGCAGCGGGGAATATGAACGCGCATTAGTTATTTTATTTAGTCTGTGTTATTTTTAATATTTCGTTTTTTTTTAAACCTAAAACAGAGACACAGATGTTGATGTGTCTGCATTCAAGCATTTCAGTGGGCTTAAACAGATCACCCTTTACAGCAGATTTAGTGCACAAACAACTGACAGTTTTGACCTAAATATGATTTTCAGTTACAATAATTAATCCTAAAATTCGACATTAGTAACTTACTTTTAGCAGCATCAGTCGCGCGCAGTTCTTACTTGTGAATTCAGTTCACTGGAGACTCGCACTAAACGGATCATGTGAATCGGTGGGTTGTCGACTCGAGAACAGCTGCAATCGGTTCATTCTCATTCGTGAATTAATCGTTTGGTGCGATTTACGAACCGATTTAAAAGGTTAATTGAAAAGAATCAGTTCGTTCTTGAATCAGACACCGCTTCTGCGTCTCGGAGCACGTGATATATTATAAGGAGTAATCTCACCAGCAAGAAACAAGTGTTTAAAGCTTGTTGTTTTGCAGAACATCACAGTTATATGACATGAGAATAAGGGCTGAAGTTAGGAAGAACATTTTAAGGAAAATATAATTATATTTTCATAACGATGTTTTTTCTTCTCAAACCTCATCTGTGGTGTAAAACACCCCTGGCCAAATGCCCCCAGAGGGCATCACTTCCCACTGTGATAATTACTGTAGTTACCATGTTCTGAACATCACATCCTTTCTTTCCCCAGATGTAATCTATCTAGGTGGTTGAATAAAAATATATGGACTTTATATCTAAAAATCACCTCAACTTAGCACCAGCAAGCTGGTTAGCTAGACAGTTAGCATCAGCTAACAATATTTACTTATTTTCAGTATGGTTATGATAAATAAACATTCATATCTGTCTACTCGGCTAGTTAATCCAAACAATAGAAAAATGTATACTGTTGATAAACAATATAAAAACAGACGTTGCATAGGGCGAAATGCGTAGCATTTTAATAAAACTGTTAACGTTATGGCAGCGGGGAATATGAACGCGCATTAGTTATTTTATTTAGTCTGTGTTATTTTTAATATTTCGTTTTTTTTTAAACCTAAAACAGAGACACAGATGTTGATGTGTCTGCATTCAAGCATTTCAGTGGGCTTAAACAGATCACCCTTTACAGCAGATTTAGTGCACAAACAACTGACAGTTTTGACCTAAATATGATTTTCAGTTACAATAATTAATCCTAAAATTCGACATTAGTAACTTACTTTTAGCAGCATCAGTCGCGCGCAGTTCTTACTTGTGAATTCAGTTCACTGGAGACTCGCACTAAACGGATCATGTGAATCGGTGGGTTGTCGACTCGAGAACAGCTGCAATCGGTTCATTCTCATTCGTGAATTAATCGTTTGGTGCGATTTACGAACCGATTTAAAAGGTTAATTGAAAAGAATCAGTTCGTTCTTGAATCAGACACCGCTTCTGCGTCTCGGAGCACGTGATATATTATAAGGAGTAACTATATGTTTTATGAAATGTAGTGAAGTAAAAAGTACGATCTTATGCTTTGGAATGTAGTGAAGTAAAAGCAAAAGTTACTCAAATTAAAATGACTCCAGTAAAGTACAGATACTTGAAAAATGTACTTAAGTACAGTAACGAAGTAAAGCTACTCCGTTACTGTCCACCACTGGTTTTTGTTCATATTTTAAACTAGATTTTAGTTTTGTTTCCTATTTTCAATTAAAATTTAATTAAACGTTTAGTAATTTAGTAGTTTTTTTGATTATTATTATTATTATTTTAATAAATATGACTATGACTACATCGTTTTTATTTATTCATTGTAGTTTATTTACTTTTAGTTATGTTTTTATTTATTTATTTAGAAATACATTTTAAATAATTTATTATATATTTATTTATAAAAAAAACATGATTTATTTTAGTTCTTCTAGTACTTCAAGTTAAAGTAAAAAAAAACTGACTTTTAAAACATTATTTCAGATAACATTTATTTTATTTTATTTCATGTAATATAAATGTTTTATGGTTTTAGTTTATGATGATAAACCTTCTACAAGCTCCTCATAATTTAAACTAGCTACTAATACAACTCATTAATCTAGTCTGAAAAAAGGGCTGTTTTTCACTAATGTTAGTGTGTGCTGTCTATGTTTGTGCTTGACAACAAACTCAGTTTGAATCATTTGTGAGTCGAGTAGATTCAAATTAATCTGTGAGTCATTTAGTTTAAAATAAAATAAAGCAACTGATTTGCTGAAATGAATCTGATGTGACCTGAGGCCACTTTTTGGAAACAATTAACATTACAGGAAGAGTAATGCCTGGATGACTGTCAAGTCTGTAGCATCGTTAACTTTAGTTAATTAGTTCGCAACATTGAACCCACTGATGCATTCAATGCTTATTTGCTAAAAGCGTTTCTCTCTCTGTGTCTCGCTCCTGTCGCTGGTTAATGGCTCTTCCCGTTATTGATTTCCCGGGTTAAGTGGATGCGCTAATGAGCCGTGCTTATGGGGTCAGCGTGCTGGGGGTCAAAGGTCAAACCCCCCTAACAGCTTCAAAGAGAGATGAGTGATCATCCATGTGCTAGAAGCTTCAAAGACAGAAAACAGGAGACGACAACATTAACGACAACATTCATTTCCTTAATGGTGTGACATTTCCGGAAGCTCGGGGTTAAACTCATCATAGTTATGTTTCCAGAGGATTCATTTGACCCTTCGGATGGTGTGCTGACAATATAAATGATTTATTTATTTTTTTGTTTGTTTATATTTATCTGTGACTGTGTTTTTATTTTCCCAGGATGCATTGCTGCAGTTGGCCTCCATTGTTGACGTCAACAGCCTTCAGACGACCATCAAAGATGTGCTCAGAGTCGTCCTGCCAGACATGGTATGAAACGCACGCATGCACGCACACACACACACACACACACACACACAAACAAACACTGAGTCGGCTTCAAACTTCATTCTGCTGATTGATTTGATATCTAGTTTTTCAGTTTTCAAAAAGCATGTTTTCTATGTTCAACACACCCTTCGCTCTACTACGAAATCAACATCTCCCTCCAGGTCAATGAAACGCTTTCCAGGCTGGGTTTTCTCTCTGCGTTCAATAAGAGTTTGTGCGTGGAATATGAACCGACGGGAAGCACATGATCATTTGATTTCACAGTGGAGAAATCATTCAGCTCCGTCTGATCAGATGTTGGGTGTGTGTACTGTGAGACGGCAGGGTCAGATCTCATTCTGATTCACCCAGAGGTTTCGCCGCTCCGGACTTCATCAGCATTCTGAGCGTCTTTTCAGAGAGAGAGAGGAAAATGCATTCTCCTGAAGGGTTTATTGATGTTACATTTGCTGGAGTCTCAGGAGTGTTTTGAGTGCCGAAAACACACACACACACACACTCACTCCACACACACACACACGCACTGACCCAGTCATATCTGAGTGCTGTTTCTTTTATTGATTATTTTCCAACGAGGACTTTTTTTTCAAGGACGCCTCAAACAGGAGTTGACTGCATCACACACACTCAGTAATCTTTGAGTTCTATTTCATATTTAATGCTGTATTTATGACATTTTTCATGTGTCATTGAAGCATAATTTAATGTAGTTAATGGCCTGTTATGTCTTTAATATTCATAAATAAATGAAGTTGGATCAGTATTATAGAGCATGAGCGTTCGAGCATGTTAACGGCTTCATCGTGTTTGATCTCAGCGGCTCTTTCTGTTTCATGTTCTGAATTATCCAGATTTATTTCTGCAGATTTGTGATCCTCTGCAGAAATAGCATTCCGGCAAACGTCTGCTCCAAGTTTGTTTATCATACAATACAAGCTCTCTGCCGAACGCTCTGAAAGAAAATAGTTTAAAATATAAAGTAGATTTGCGTTTCAGTTATTCGCTGATTTTCTCCACCGCAGCAAATCTAATTCACACATTCGAATGTGGCACATTAAAGGAATAGTTCAGCCTAGCTGATGAAAATGTGCTGAAAATCTGTTCACTCTCAAGTCATCCGAGATCAGGATGAGTTTGTGTCTTCATCAGATTTGTAGAAATGTAGCACTGCATCAGTGTCTCAGCAATGGATGCTCTGCAGTGAATGGGTGCCGTCAGAATGAGAGTCCAAACAGCTGATAAAAACATCACAATAATCCACAGCACTCCAGTCCATCAGTTAACATCTGGAGAAGACAAAAGTGTTAAAGTTTAGAGCTGTTTAAACGCTGCTTGATCTGTGCAGATTTCTCTCCTGATTCAGACCAGAACACTTTTTCACTGGAGGAAGAGTTATTATGGATTATGAACTCTATGGTATTTTAGTTAAAAGCATCTTAATGCTGGATGTGTTTCAGCTTTTGTCTTCTCCAGATGTTAACTGATGGACTGGAGTGCTGTGGATTATTGTGATGTTTTTATCAGCTGTTTGGACTCTCATTCTGACGGCACCCATTCACTGCAGAGCATCCATTGCTGAGACACTGATGCAGTGCTACATTCCTCCAAACCTGATGAAGAAACAAACTCATCCACATCTATGATGTCCTGAGAGTGAACACATTTTCATTTTTGGCTGAACTATTCTTTAAACGATATGCAAGAACTTCTTTGTTTACATCACAAGCAGGCTATCTTTAGCAGAAAGCACAATCCCAGAATGCAAGGATAGTTCACCCAAAACTGAAAACGCTGTCTTCATTTACTCTCCAAAACCTGTGTGAATTTCTTTCTTCTGTTGAACACAAAAGAAGATATTTTAAAGAACAACAGCTGCTGGTAGCCATTGACTTCCATAGTAGAGAAAAAAACACTATGGAAGTCAATGGCTACCGTCAACCGTCTTGCAAAAAAATCTTTCTTTATGTTCACACAGGTTTGAAGCAAACAACACGAGGGTGAGTAAATGATGAACAGTCCCTTTAACTCAACTCAAAGAAAGGAAAAAACGAAGAAGGTGGACTAGATTAAATAAATATCATATAAATAAAATGATGGATAAATAGTAGTTTAATTAAAAATAGACGATTGTATCATTTTATGCGTGATTATGGCTTTGCATCACATTAAAAAGAGTCAAGTTCGCTTCACACTAAGTTATTTTTGTTCAGCATCGCTTGTTAGGTTCCTTTCACATGCTGCCTTACAAGACAGCTGCCTAAGTAGACAGCGAGACGCTCACTAGGGTTTATAACAGAGCTGAACTGAAGTCAAGGAATCATGTCAAAAAACTTCCCTTGACATTTCTGACAAATTAACAGGACCAATCCGGTCCCCCCGCAGGATCCGATCGCCACGGTAACGGAGACTAATTAGGGTTGCACCACTCTGTCAGCACGGCGATTAACGAAGCCTGTGGCGTGACGAAGGTACTTTGCATTGATTAACCTCACGGAGGCCAGGATGACAGGCTGAGAGACTGCGGACGGGTCCCAGCTCTCGACAGGTGCTCGTGTTTCTGACCGCACATAATCCAGTGCCTGACACGACTCTAGGGACTCAGCTGTTGTTCTCGCTGGTGTTTTGCAGGAGTGTGTGTTCGTGTACCTGTTGGAGGCGGAGTCTCGGCTGCGATGTGAGGATCCGCCCCATGAGGTGCAGTCAGAGGGCAAGCTCAGGTAAGGGGCGGGGCTTATGCTAATGTCATTATAAAAGCACAAAGAATTAACATATTTTGTTTATCAGCCTTTCATTGCGTAGAAAGCATCAGCTCTTTGGGATGGAGGCGGGATGAGGTTTAAAAATAACAATAATTATAATAAAATTAAAAAAATTAAAGCATAGTTATAGTTCAAAAAAGGGGGCATTTAAAATATTAAATACCATACCATTATTCCTTGAAGAAAAGCAGAATCAGAATGAGCTTTACTGGCTTACACACACACAACAGGTTTGTCTTGGTAAAACTTATAGTACACAAAACAGCATTAATAATAATAATGACAATATAATAATATATAATAACCAATATATAAAAATAATGTATGGAGCAGGGCTGTTATAGTTAACTAAATCCCAAACCATAAAAAATGTTGTTACTATAAACAAATACTATAAAACATTTTTATTTTATTTTATATAAAATAAAATAAAAAAACGAAAAATAAAATAAAAATGCTCAACAGATTTCTTTTAGTGAAGCTCCCAGTAAACAAAACTAAATTAGTATTATTATTGATAATAATAATAATAATAATAATGATAGAGATAAGATGATATACTGTAATAATAAAGGATTTATTTAAAGATTAAAATATTGTTATAGTTATCTAAAACCATAGAAAATGTTGCTACTATAAACAAATACTATAAAAACATTTTTTAATTTTATATAAAAAAATTTAATAAAACAATGTTCAACAGATTTCTCTCAGTGAAGCTCCCAGTACACAAAACAACATTAATAATAATAATAATATTGATAGAGATAAGATGATTTATTTAAAAATTAGAACTAAAACCATAGATAATCTTGTTACTATAAAATTTAAATTAAAACTATAATTATAACAAGACAAAATACTGTATGTCGCAGCATTATTAGTTAACTAAAAAAAATGTTACTATAAATAAAACTTAAAACTTATTTTATTTTAGTTAGTTAGTTGCCAAGGCAACATTTTCTATTTTTGTTTAGTTTAACTTGATGTACTACAATGACTAAAACTATAACTGAACTTAAAATTAATAAAAATTATAGACATTTTAATTTTTTTAAAAATCTCATCAAGTCATTAAATGACTAAAAATGTTACTAAAATTAAAATATAAAAATAAAACCTAATTCAAAATATGAATAAAAGCTGATATTGATGCTATAATAACACTGTTATCTGCACAAAAGACAACATATGTATGTACAAAACACACACCACGTTTGAAAGTGAAAGAAGAGTACAGTGAATATTTCTTGTGAGGAATGCAGTGGCTGGATCTGGTTGTTCTGCGAGAGCTCTTGTGTGTGTGTGTGTGTGTGTGTGTGTGTTGCCAGTGGTCTGTCTGAGGTGTTAGCCGCTGTTTTATATCAAATGAGCTGTCGATGTGTCTGAACGCCTCGTGTCCCGTCAGTCTCTTCTGATGAACCGACTGATTCCTGTGCTGTGAGAAATGTCAGAATCCAGCGCTTTGCTTTCTCTCCTCTCGCTGAATCACGTGCGACCTCTGCTCCCGTATCTCTCTCTCTCTATATCATACGTTTGTGGCTTTCTGCAATAGAAAGGTTCAGGGTTGACGAAAACCGAAGCCGTTTTTCAGTATAAGTATGTGTGTGAGTCAACCGAAACTTTCAATGGCGAGTCTAAAAATGAGCACATCGTTATCTCTCATCCTGACCTCACATTTCCATTCTGCGGAAGGCTCTGATGTCAAGCTGTCAATCAAATCCACAGCACCCGCCTCCCTCTGAAGTGAGACTCCTCCCCCTCTCTAGTTAATTGGCTGCTTGCAGTGATTGACAGTTTTATTTCAGGTTACCCGGGGAAACCAGATCCGGATGGCAGCCGGTTGATCATTACATCATTGATATATATATGGAACCGTAACTTATTAGAGCCGGCTCAGAAAGTTTTGCAAACATCACTCACCTTTTCTATTGGAAATGTAAAGATGTGGTTATTTTTGCCGGAGCTGCTCGAGTGGGACTCATTAAAGCGGGCTGGGTTTCTGTAGATAAGCAGATGTTCTTGAGCGGCGACCCTCTCAGCTTCTGATCCGTCCGTCTTCAGCAGCACTTCAGCTCTGCAGTCGCTCTCTCGTGTGTCTCTCACATGTAAAGTGTTTCTGAGGCATGAGGAAGGTCCAGATCTGCACAGTTTTGCTTTTATACGTGCACAAGGCTTGTGCGTCTCACATCAGCAGATGCATCAGGAAACATTGGCATTTGTGTCTCAGGACTTATATTTCTTTTCATAAAGAATTTATTGTAAAATGTATATTTTTTCACGTATTAAAAACCCATTAACGCAATTTAATATGAATTACTAATTTATATTTTCAATATTTAATCTATATTATATTTAATTTATTTTTATGTATTTATTGTATCTAGTGTATAATATATAATTTAATTATAATAGTTATATTTATAAGTTATTAATTAATTTATGACATTTTGAAAATGAAACATTTAAAAATATGATTTTATTATTTACAGTATCAAAACTGATTTCTATATTCAATATATAGTTTATAATATATTATAATAATTTCTAATTATATATTTATAGTATGTAATATAATTTATGAAGTATAATATTTAATTTAATTATAATAGTTATATTTATCATTTATTGATTAACTTACAACATTTTGATAATGAAACATTTAAAATTAATATATTATTATAATATATTATATTATAATAATTTATAATTATATATTTATAGTATGTAATATTATAATTTATATGGTATAATATTTAATTAAATTATAATAGTTATATTTATTATTTATTAATAACAATCAACAATTAAACAAATATTCAAAATTAAAACAGTATTTTATTATTAACAGTATTAATACCAGTTTATATATTACATTTTTAATATAGATATAGGTAACCTATGATATTTAAACAATTAAACATTTACAATTTTAATATTATTTTATTAACAGTATTATATTATATTAAATATATAAAATATAATAATAATTTGCAATTATATATTTATATGTGATATCATAATTACTAATCTAAAATATAGAATTTAACAGTATTAATGCCAATTTATATATTCAATAAATAATTCAGAAAACATAATAATATAAAATATAAAATATTATTATAATTTGTATTTATATATTTATATGTAATATCATAATTACCAATGTATAATATAGAATTTAATTATAATAGTTATATTTCTGAGTAAATGTACATATATTGTACTGAGTAAAATCAGTGATGTGAGTCAGTGTTCTGTTAATTATATCAGAATTACGTCATGAGGACACGTGGCACATTAATGACTGTTCCCTGATGATCCCCCAATAACACTTGGATGAGAAACTAATCAATGTGCAGACAGAGATATTAGGAAAGAATGTCCAAGCTCAGAGTCCAGATGATGAGCTCAGACGAGGAAACGCTCTGGATTATTTGCAGAAACCTTTTATCCTGGATTTCACTGTTTTTGTACAGTTGTAAACAAAATAAAGATTATTGGAGCATGTTCTAGAAGAAAATAGTATTTCAGATTTTCTACTTCACAATTTCACATTTAATTTGATGCATTTTACTGTGTTTTTATCTTTTAAGTTTTACTAGTTTTAGAAACTAACTTAAACTTCAGTTACACTGTAAAAAAATATGTTGTTGTTTTTTTTGTGAAGTTTTTAAACCAAAGGCTTTTGGAGTAGCTCTTCAGTCTTTCTTCTTCGAAATGTCATGTTTAATTTAATGTGTTTTTTGTAATTATTTGTGAAATTTACAAGCAGTTTCTGCATGAAAATTGTGTCAAAGTAAATCCTACACCAATTTTTTTGTGTGTAGTTGCCAAGGCAACATTTCAATTTTTTTCATACATTTTTTTAAAAGTTTTGTATTGTTCTGCTTTATTTAAATGGCCAGAAAACTTTAGTAATTTGATGTGCTTCTGACATTTTTCTTCGTTTTTAAAAAATGTTTCTATTTAGCTTTAATTATTTTGGTATTTCAGTTTTAGTGAAATTTTAGTACTTAAACTTATTTCAGTTACAGTGTAAAAAAATTTGATTATTGGAGGCACATTTTCAGTCTTTCCACAGCTTTCTACTTCAAAAGTTCACATTTAATTCAATGTCTTGCAGTTTCTTTAGGAATGATCTGTGATTTTTTTTAACTCTCCACAAAAATATTCAGAAGTACATCACTTTCACTCCTAAAGAAGAAGTTTTTGTGAACCACACGAGTGAATCATTCACAAATTCAATCTTAAGATTCGAAAGCCCTGAAATAGCAGCCTGTCAGTTACCACGGAAACACAGTGAAAATGGCTTGAATATTTGCGTTTTATCTCGGATAATCAGTCACGCTTGAACTGAGCAGCATATTACTATGGAAAAGACTAGAAAATTGTGTGTTTGTGTGTGAATTCCCTGTAGACGTAGCAGATAAGAGTGTAGAATTGAAACTTTACATGCATTTTGTCATCTCAGGCATTTTTTCAACCCACACACACAATATCGGCTCACTATTAATGCCTCACACACACACACACACACACACACGGGCACCAGAAGCACATTGAAATGCATTCGATGTCGTGCGATAATTGCACAATTGAAAGAGACGACTCCTTTGATTGCGGTTATTTTGGGCGCAGTAACGTTCAGAGAGGAAAAAACACATTTAACCCTCATTGATCAGAGCTACAGGTCAGAAACAAAAGAGCCGCGCGGGATAATAGAGACGTGAACACCTGAATGCCATTAGATGTGTGCAGGTGTGCAGAGTAAAGCCATTCATCAGAAACACTGCGCTTTCATCAGACATTAGCATGAGAAAAAAATACATTTACATCACAGAGCAAACATAAAGGACAGACAGACAGAGAGAGAGAGACAGACAGACAGAGAGAGACAGAGATGGACAGACTGAAAGACAGACAGAGACAGACAGACAGACAGACAGAGAGAGAGA